TCTTTGGAATGATGTAAAAACGAGCGTTCTTGCTCATTTTGCTTCCGAGAAACATGCAAAACGGGACGGAAAACATGAAATTTTGCAATAATCTTTCGACGATAATTTTTCTAATTTCATAGACAACAGAAGACCGTATTTTTTCTACATAACTCCCCCTGAATTTAAAGCTGGATCCGCCCCTGAGTTCTCTAGAATATTTGCAGAAGAAAAGCCTTTGGAATCATCTCACTTCTACTGATTTTAAAATAATCGTAAAATTTCAAATACTCAATTTCAAAATATTATATAAAATGTAAAAAACATGTAAAAGAACAGTAAAGTAAATTAGTATTAGAAATCTCTAGAGTCGTTTGGAAGGGAGGCCCTTCAGATTTGTGACGATGTCGGAAAAAACTCCAGCAAAGAGCAAAGAGGTTCGTCGAATCATGATGAAAAACAATTGATATGAACCAATGAAATGATGGCCTCCCACAGGTTTTACGCACGTGATGCGCCATCCTGTCGACAATATAAAACAGGACGCTCTGTATTGTTGGTTTTCTTCACGAGACCGCAGCAGTGTCCAAACGCCATCCAACACGCAAGAAGTGGCTCTCCAGCGACCCTCCAGGAGATATATTCCACAGTACAGGTAAAAGTTTAACTTACATTTTCATTGCATTTTCTGCATTTAAACGGTTTTCATTATCAATTTACTTTGTTACTCGCAAATTATTAAGAATGTGTTGGCGAAAAAGCATTGTCCAAAAGCTCGAGAAACTCGTTTCTACCATGCCTTTTCTACTTCACAACCGAGCTTTTCTTTTGCGTTAAGAACAACACTTTGGCTTAGTGATTCTTTCACTATATTTTCCACTTTTGCTGTTGTAAAAAAATTAAAACATTTTGCACATTTTACTTTTTTTACATTAACTTTAAATCAAATCTTTTGGCTAATTATTAGTGGTACAAGTAACAGGAAATCAATTGTAATTAAACAATAATTTAATTATGCAAGTAGATAATAAATATTTCTTGTTGGAAAATCAAATCATCGTAACTTTTCGCTTTTCCTTTGAGATCACTTCGCCTCAACACATTCATTTTTATTGAAAAGATATGCTGTTTCTCACATAATTTCCGCTGAACACTGCCGCATTTCGTGCGATATTTGGCCAAAAAAGTAATTTTTGCTAAATAACCGGCCGCCTGCCCAAGTATTTTATTAATAAATCTGAAATAAACATTTTGCACAAAATCCATTTTTCAAGTCTGCCCATTTCAAAAACAGTTTACTTTATTCTAAGCAAAGCGTTTTCTGTTCGTTGTGTAGGATTTTTGAGGCGCAAATCGCACTTTGCAATTATAATTTCCAACACCTAAAACGAAGTTTTAGGTAGAGAGCGCTTATAATAAAAGAACATGTGGTGTACACCTGCGCTCGGACTAAAAATACGGAAAGATTCAAATTTCATGCAAAAAAAGGTATGATCGACTTAGGCGTCTAATAGATTGTATCCTTTATTGGTATACACAGTGTTTAATTGCAAAAGTCAAAAATGGAAACTATTGGAAATCGGTCCATTATGGCCTCGGCCTGAAAAAAAATTCACAAAAAAATTCCAATAAAATATTCGCAATTTGATCTTCCTTTTGACTGTGTTAGAATATCAAGTTGCCTCTTGCATTATATATATTGAAATAATCTTTCTTCCGACTCAGAAGTGTTAATACATTTCGGGTGTAAGTTCAAATATTTCAGAAAAATCAGCCCATACTCAGCTTATACTGAATTTTTCGGCTTTTTCAGTACAAACTTTCCTTTTCGCTCTGCCAGAATTTTAATTCGCTTCTTTACCTAATTTGGAAGTTATAACGTTTCTTTAGCTCACATGCACATCGGGCGCAATTTTCAATACCAAGTGAGTTTAAAAATTTCTGAAAAATCAGCCGATGCTCAGGTTCTAATTAAAGTTTCCCAACTTTTAGTCCCAACCCTCCTTTCCACTGTGCCAAAATTTCAATTAGTGAGTTCTATTAATTTGGAAGTTATAATTTTTGTATAGCTCAACTGCAAATCAGGAGAGTTCGTGAATTTCAACTGCCAGTTCAGGAGTTGACGAAAAATCAGCCCATACTCATCTTCTAATTAGTTTTTCGGCTTTTTTAGTCCAAACCTTCTTTTCTGCTCTGCCCGAATTTTAATTCGCTTCTTTATCTAATTTGGAAGTTATAACTTCTTTAGCTCACATGCACATCGGGCGCAATTTTCAATATCAAGTGAGTTTAAAAATTTCTGAAAAATCAGCCGATGCTCAGGTTCTAATTAAAGTTTCCCAACTTTTAGTCCCAACCCTCCTTTCCACTGTGCCAAAATTTCAATTAGTGAGTTCTATTAATTTGGAAGTTATAATTTTTGTATAGCTCAACTGCAAATCAGGAGAGTTCGTGAATTTCAACTGCCAGTTCAGGAGTTGACGAAAAATCAGCCCATACTCATCTTCTAATTAGTTTTTCGGCTTTTTTAGTCCAAACCTTCTTTTCTGCTCTGCCCGAATTTTAATTCGCTTCTTTATCTAATTTGGAAGTTATAACTTTTCTTTAGCTCACATGCACATCGGGCGCAATTTTGAATATCAAGTAAGTTTAAAAATTTCTAAAAAATCAGTCGATGCTCAGGTTCTAATTAAAGTTTCCCAACTTTTAGTCCCAACCCTCCTTTTGACTGTGCCAAAATTTCAATTAGTGACTTCTATTAATTTGGAAGTTATAATTTTTGTATAGCTCAACTGAAAATCAGGAACGTTCGTGAATTTCAACTGCAAGTTCAGGAATTGACGAAAAATCAGCCCATACTCATCTTCTAATTTATTTTTCGGCTTTTTTAGTCCAAGCCTTTCTTTCCGCTCTGCCAGAATTTTAATTCGCTTCTTTACATAATTTGGAAGTTATAACTTCTTTAGCTCACATGCACATCGGGCGCAATTTTGAATATCAAGTGAGTTTAAAAATTTCTAAAAAATCAGCCGATGCTCAGGTTCTAATTAAAGTTTCCCAATTTTTAGCTCCAACCCTCCTTTTGACTGTGCCAAGATTTCAATTAGTGACTTCTATTAATTTCGGAGTTATAATTTTTGTATAGCTCAACTGCAAATCAGGAGCGTTCGTGAATTTCAACTGCAAGTTCAGAAATTCACAAAAAATCAGCCCATACTCATCTTCTAATTAATTTTTCGGCATTTTTAGTCCAAACCTTCCTTTCCGCTGTGCCAGAATTTTAATTCTCTTCTTTACCCAATTTGGAAGTTATAACTTTCTTTAGCTCCCATGCACATCGGGCGCAATTTTGAATATCAAGTGAGTTTAAAAATTTCTAAAAAATCAGCCGATGCTCAGGTTCTAATTAAAGTTTCCCAATTTTTAGCTCCAACTCTCCTTTTGACTGTGCCAAGATTTCAATTAGTGACTTCTATTAATTTGGGAGTTATAATTTTTGTATACTTCAATTGCAAATCAGGAGCGTTCGTGAATTTCAACTGCAAGTTCAGGAATAGACGAAAAATCAGCCCATACTCATCTTCTAATTCATTTTTCGGCTGTTTTAGTCCAAGCCTTCCTTTCCGCTCTGCCAGAATTTTAATTCGCTTCTTTACCTAATTTGGAAGTTATAACTTCTTTAGCTCACATGCACATCGGGCGCAATTTTGAATATCAAGTGAGTTTAAAAATTTCTGAAAAATCAGCCGACGCGCAGATTCTACTCATTTTTTTCTCAATTTATAAATGAAACTCTCTTATATTCTGTACCAAAATTTCAAGTTTCCACTGGCGCTAATTTGGGAGTTGTGACTTGTTTCTTTCGCTCAACTGCGAATCAGGTGCGGTTTTCAATTTGCCTGAAAAAATGCCGACTTGTTGAGCTAAAGGAAAAGCTCAAACTCTCAAATTAGTTGAACTGGTAATTTGAAATTTAGTCACAGCCAAAACAAAGGTTTGAACTAAAAATAGAGAGAAATTTGTCAGAAAAAGGCCACAGGTTGACTTTTCAGAAGCCTCCAAACTTGGGAAATTCAAAAGAAAAATCACAATGAGTGAAACCGTCGACGTGGAATTTTTACGCAATCAAAATTTGATTAGATTCTGAGCGTCAGCTAAATAATGGGAATCTAGAATTTGGAATAGCATCTTACGCCTATATTTCTTGTTATTTCTAGAAGAAATTCCGGTTTCTTTAGGATACTTATATATTTTTCCAGTCATCATGCTTCAATGCAATTCTATTAAAAAAGCACACAGCTTGCGCAGTTATTTAAACATAAGTTATTTTGAAAGTCAATAGGACAATTTCCCGTTCACCTGTCCTAACCCCACGAATTAAATGATGTAATATTTCACCCTCTGTTGCTTTTAATATCCACATATTTGATACCCATGTGAGGTGTTAGCGTAGCCGCAACTCGCTTTCGAGTCGTTTAAACTTGAACATCATGTCGATTTTCCAGTCTGAAAATTATCACACTTTACCAACTCCCGCTTAATATTCATATAACTCGTCGCGTTTGCTCTCTGTTTATTAAATTATTAATGCCAGGTAATGGTTTAGCGAGATGGATTAGCTGAAACTATTCCCTTAAGAAAAACGCTTTTCCCCCCAATGGAAAAAGGATAGTTTTGCAGCTCTTTAACCAGCATTACAGGTATTAATGCGCTCTAAAGTCTAAAGTACGCGTGACTAAGACTTATTTCCAGTCGCACTTATGCTCTTAATTTGTGTTTATAACCGAAAGCTTGGGGGGTATTTTAATTAAATTATGGATATGTAACGTGCACATGCATGTAAGCAGCACTAAACGCGGAGCAGTTTTCCCGGGAAACTTTTAACATTTTGCCGCAGAATAAAAGAAATTGGCGATGTTTTATGGGAGTAAGAATAGCCTAGTTGGGAGGTTCAGCTCACTAGAACATTCGGGCCCGATGATTAACTGAAACTTTTTTTGTTTTAAGTACTGTCAGAATCAAGATGGGGAAATACACAATTAGTGTATTCTTTCAGAACCACAGTTCTCTTTGGTGTAAGGTTTCGTCGATTTTTGCCATTTTTCAGTTCCCATCATCATTTCATAACTACTCAGAGCAGTGTTTTGTCTTGTAAGTATGGCTATAAAAATATTATTTTGTTCGTTTGAGGCCTGCTTTAGCTTGCTAAAGAATAAGAAACAAAATAACCAAAAATTTATTTGGGAATATCCGTCACTTAGTATAATTTATTCGTTTCAAATGTAAGTGAAAACCTTCCTGCGTAGCAATTTGAGACAAGTTGCTTCAAAAAAGTATTATTTTCTTGGTATCATTGACGCAGCAAATGATCTTCGCTTCCATCTGCGTGTTTCGTGATAATTATTAATTCTATGTGAAAACCTTGCTGGAGATAATGGAGGTTTTATGGTAGGAAACTTTCGGGATTATTTTATAGAAGCCATAAAATGTTTCTATTTAAATCCCTAAATCCTGCTGGCTCAAATACTGACACGAGTTTCTGCTGACAGAATATAATAACCTTATGGCTGGTAATAGTTTGCGCAATTTTTTAACCTTTAGTATATTTTTTGAGCATTTCCGTAACAATACAACATGAAGAGCTGTTGTTGTAAA